GTTGTACACTCACTGCTCCTTTATGTCTGCACATCCTTTAGCAAGAATTTGAAATGACATGTGTCCAGTGGTGCTTTTCAGCCACTAATAATGGAAGCCTGTATTTTTCCAGGTGTAAATGTGTGCAATCATATGAATAGTGAGCAGGCAGGTGATAAGATAAAGCATGTGTGCCCTGTGACTCCAATGGTAAAAAACCCAAGCGGATTGCACGCTATAGGAAACTTATATACTGATGTCACTGATGAACAAAACAGGATTTTTTAATGGAAGTTTTAACTGCTAAGGTTTTTCTTTTTATTATTTTGAGGCAAAGTTGTTCTTCCATGTTAGCACAATGTGATTGATTTAACTTCAACACAGCGTGGAGCGTTGACCTGTCACTCCACTGACATCCAACCCGCCACCTTTATTCCTACAGGTCAGAAAGGTCACCATGACTTACAAGACACATAAAGGGGAGTTAATTCACACCACTTGACCCCTGCCCTGCTGTCAACATATGCCTGTTTCAGGCTCTGAGTCAGTGCTGGGAAGTGTGTGCATGTGTGTGTGTGTGGTCCTCTGCAAGTTTTAAGTTTATCCCTGTGCTACAAAGTATACTTCACTTAATGCAGACTAGCCTCAAGCTGCTGTTAAATCCCAACTAAAGAAGGAAGGCAATTACGCTGGCCGGCACAGTAAAACCATGCATCACTGTGAACGTCATCTTTTGATATCAACATCAATCACTGCTTAATCATAGCCAGTTTCCTGGTTTAGGGAGGTTAAAGGTGGCCTGTTAGCAAGTAGCACGCTAACGCTAAAGCTAACATTGGCCATAAGAGTACACTTCACCTCCGCCTTTAAGTAGCAAACATGTCATTAATCACATGTAACAATTCCAAGCCCCCAGGTTAAGGACTTTGTATCGGGAAACGCGGTATTCATCGACACCCGTAGACAGACACCAAAACGTCGCTTTAGTGTAGCCTCCCCTGAGCACCACTAGAGCTGGAACTTAAAAAAAAAACGGAAAATCATTTATACGCGTAAATTACCCCGCAATTAATCTCACGTGAAAGTCTAGCGGAGTCGGTATCTCGCCCGCAGACGCCTCGGCAACAATTCCGCCTCCAACGGCGAGGGGAGGTCAGCGAGAGCGGCCAGAGAGCTCTCGGTGCCCCGTCGTGTGCCAGCCTCTATGCCCGGTAGAATTTGGGAGTCCTCCGCTGGCCCGGGCCGGTGTAAGCGTGAGTTCAGCGGGAGGGGGCGGCAGCGGAGAAGGGACAAAAAAGAGAGCTTTTCTCCTTTATTTCGGATGTCCGTTGCGACTCCCAACTTCACTCAACGCTTAAACGGATTTCGTTTTTCGTCCGAGTAAACTGGGGGCATGAAAAAGGGGCAGAAAAGAGTGGCGGGGGGGAATATTCAGCAGTTCGCTGCTCTCCCCGTCTCCCCTCTCCGTGACAGCACGGTGTGATGCCCATTCAGACCAAATTCCCTTCTCCTCCAGCGGCCGAATGGCAGCCACAGATAAGGGTCTGCCACACGCTATTCCCCTCGCTTAGGATGAATCACACATAGCCTACTCCATTATTCATTATATCTCTTTCAAAAACTGGTCTCGGGCAATCACATAGGCTACTTGGCACAACTCCTTTTCCCGGTGTATTTCTTTCTTCTTTTTTTTTACCGGGGAGTGGAGGAGGGGGAGGAGTGTCTATAACGAAGGCGATCCTCGCACTCCATCTTTAACCGACATCAACAGGTCATCCCGGGACACAAATGCGCTGCGACTGTGGGTGAGACAGAGGGATGGATCCGGCATGGCGAGAGGAGAGAAGAGAGGAAGGGAGAGGGGAGTAAGGGGCTGGCTGTAAATTCTTAACCCGTCTACCGACAGGACGCCGCCGGGTTTGGCGGACCAGCGACTGGCAGTTCGTTTACAGATGCTGCACGTTAACCAAAAGAAGACCAGCACCTCCTAAAAAAAAAACTAAAAAAAAACAATGACTTTCTGAGGAAGTTTGGGAGTGCTGGGGAAAGATGAACCGACAACTTGCGAAGTCATTCGCCGAGGAGGGAAGGGGGCAGCTCGGGGCGACGAAAGTATGAAGCCGGTGTGAAAGTGGTTAAAGTTTGGTCTGTCCCCATGTGCCCATCCCCCATAGTATCCAGCACAACTTTAACACCAAGCACCCCCCCCAACACCCCCCACCTTAATCCAAAAAAAAGGGGGAAAAAAGAAAACAATAGCCAAAAACCTCCACTTCAGCACACCGCTGGAAACCATACCACCCATCCAAATTCGACACCCCCAACCGACACCACGCGCAGACAGCGCGAGAGCAATAACAACGAGCCCGGTTCGTCTCACCGACCGGACCGGAACCGTGTTTCCGAGGTGACCCCCTCCGCGTTTGACTCACCCCTCCGCCGCGTTTCTCTGGAAATTGTATCAATGGAGGAGCGGCGCGCAGGGGCAGGAGAAGCGGCTGTAGTGTCTCCCTCCGCCTCGCCACAGACACTCATTCACCGCCACTGTACGCTGTGAACCAGCAGCCGGGGCACGCGCACAATTCACGCGTAGACACTTGTGCGCGCGTGCCCGCAATCACACACACGTATAGTGGAGGAAAAGAGCGCAGAGCCATCGAGGAGGGGATGGGGGGGGGACACACGGAGGAGCCGAGCTGGGATTTTTTTTTTTTTTTTTTTTAAACCCTCCCAGGGGTTGCAGACAGATCACAGAGCTACTGATCGGTCTGACAGATAGACAGGTAGACAGACACACCAAGGAGCCGTGGGCACCGTCTTGCCGATAGGCGTAATGTAATGTAACGAAACAGCATATGGCATCTTATCTTAAAGGATTTCTGATCCTGATCTCCTGTTAATTCAGCTGTGATTTATGATGGCAGTGATGTCTGTGAGTTACAGGAACTGCTCCACATGAACACCCGAATGACTATAGGCTATAGCCTACATTTGATGCACATTATTGGCGTTTTATGGCGTTTAATGTGAGAAGTCAGCTCAACTCATTGTCTAAATGAAATCCAAGTTTTAAAAGAATTGCTACTTTTATCTATCCATATTTTGAAACCATTATATTGAATTTATTTTTTAAACACAAAAAGTTTATCTTTATACCATTATTATTTTACATACCACAAAACAAAGCTAGAAACCTAAAGTTATTAATCTATCTATCTATCTATCTATCTATCTATCTATCTATCTATCTATC